CATCATAAAGAGGCTGATTTGGTTTTACTTAATCCAAATAGCAAAATAGCATTTTGACCATGACAGCTGTTCAAATGAAGTGACTGACCCCTTTGCACAGTAATGAGTTTTCTATCACTAGATTCTCAAACAGATCCCAGGCATACCTCCCCCTTCCTGAATCTCATTGATTCAAGGTTGAAGTGTTAGGTAGGAAGGCTGTGTAGCAGGGAATGAGGAGAGGATTTACCGAGCATCTACTGTGTGTCTGAGACTTTACTTGTATAATCTCATTTAATTCACTCAACAGACCCCCGAGGTAGATGCTCTTATCCCTATTTTTAAAATAAAGAAAGCAAGCTCAGAGATTTATGGAACTAGTCCATGCCATCCAGCTGGTGAGAGGTGGAGCTAGGATCCAAAGTAGGATCTGCCTGCTCCAAGTTCATGGGCCTTCCTCGGTAGCTCGAAAGACTCTGCTAAGTCTCACATTCTTCAACGCACTTCTCGGAACTGCACTTGTGCCTGGCTCCTGAAAATACGGGCCACCGCCACCGCTGGCGGAGATGATGGTCTACCTTATGGATCTGTCATGGAATTCAAAGTTCTCTTAAGAGAGCCTGTTGTGGGGGTGGTGACTGTTTCCCATGCAGTTGTCTTTTGGTTCCTATGTGTTTGTTAAGCTGCTGTAGCATCTTCTCATCTGCAGATTTGCTTGTCTGCCAGAATCCCAAATCAACCTGATGGTTTAGGGGTTTCATTCTATGATCTGGCAACCCATGAATACAGTGGATCCTGCTCCTCTGCCTCCCCCACGCCCCACAGGGAGCAGCCTCCTCTCTCCAGCTGGCACAGCGACCATATTCGGGGCTGATTGGGGAGTGTTTCAGCTGGACGGGGGCAGATGGCTGACTAGGGGCACAGGCTGCCATGTTTTTGCTAATTTTGAGCCTGGGGCGAATCCTGAAGGCACCATCCGGAGATGCCTGAAAGTTGGATCTTCTGAAGTGTCGCCGCAACCTTGGAGGCAGTTTCATCTGAGCGTGTTTCGCTCCCATCTCCGTCCCTTGTTCTCATGCCAGCCTCTTCTGGATGCCCACCAGATGCCTCTCTGCTAGGTGCCTCCATGCCCTGTCTCCTTTCCCCTTGGAACTGTGCAGCAGGGACTCCTTCCTTGTCGTGCTGGGGAGGCAGGTAATGAGGGAGGAGGCTGGGAGCCCACTCTGTAGGTACAGGCTGCCACCTCTCCTCTCTGAAGCCTACACCCTTCCTTTCTCCTCTGCCTGCCTTTGCCTCCAGTGCCTCCCAATCCGGCTTAATACAGGCTGGGGTAGGCCCCAGCAAGAGCAGGGCACTAGCCAGGCCTCTGGGAGGGCATCTGCTTCTGCTGATAAGTACCCCTGTCTTTCTCCTCCCCTCCGGCAGGGCGGAGATGCCCTCCCCCAACGAGCTAGGGAATTAAAGCAGGGAACTGGGCTTTGGCAACAGGCCCTCTCACTGGCACGAGGCCTGCGCTGTCTCCAAGGATTTCTCTCTCAGAGACTCAGTGTTGCCTGATTAAAAATGATTGCTTCTTACAAAGCAAAATAGGGTCTTGTCGAGAGTCCACCCAACAATGAGATGGAAAGTTGGGACTTCCTGGGCTCTGAACGCAGTCCATAAGAAAGAGGGAGCTTGAGGCATGGGAATGGAATCCCCTCCAGTTGGGGAAGTCTCAGAACAGAGACTGCATGGAGAGCAATTCTGGTACAAGTGGGCTCAGACCTGGAGGTTACCTGTCCAGCCCCATGTGTTAGTGTGCCAGGGCTGCTGCGTTGAAGGACCACAGCCTTGAACTATAGACATACATTGTCGTACATCTCTGGAGGCCGGAATCCTGAAATTAAGGTGCCTGCAGATTTGCTTCCTTCTGAGGGAGGTGAGGGAAGGAAGCCGGGTCTCTCTCTTGGCTTGTGGGTTGTAGAAGGCCATCTTTTCTGTGTCTCTTCACTTTGTCTTGTAAATTCCTTTGTCTGTGTGTCCAAATTTCCCTTTTTATGAGGACACCAGTTGTAGTCGTGTGCGCAGGGTGCCATAACAAAATACTACAGACTACCTACTTTTGGCTTGCAGAAGGACAGTGCGCTGGTGTCTCTTCCTATTAGAAGGGCACCATGCCTATCAGATTCAGTCCCCACTTTGACTCTTTAACCTTTATCACCTTCTCACAGGTCCTACTTCCAAATATGGCCACATTGGGGGTTAGAGAAGCAAAGTATGAATCTGAGAGGGGTACAGTCCAGTCCATCGCACCAGTCCTGTTGGATCAGGCCCCACCCTCATGATCTCACTTTAACTTGATTACTTCTGTAAAGACCCTGTCTCCAGACACATTCTAAGGTATTGGGGGTTACAGTGTTGACATGTGAATTCTGGGGGGACACAGTCAGCCCACAGCATCTAAGTTCCACAGGCTTAACCTGCCACCCTGGGTCCATTACAAAGGAGACTGGAGTTGGGGGGACACAATTGTGCCTCCCTACCCTGACACCACTAGGTTTTCTGGGGCCGTGGGATGGGCAGGGTCCCTTGGGAGCTCCACTGACTGAGGCTGGACACTCAAGTATGCTTGGGAGTCTCCACCCTGTGCACTGCCAGCTCCACGCACACCTGCCATTTCCCATGAGGTCAGCTTGCAAACTCTGGGCCCAGCCAGCCTGGTGGGCTTGTCTCTTGTTGACCAAGAGGTAAAGAAGCACAGCGTTCAGGTGGCCATCTTGGATCTCCTTTAAGCTACTATCTCCTTTAAGCAGAGCAGCCAGAGAGTAAGGAAGCAGCACATTTTAGGAAGATTTGGTGCTGGGGTGTGGGGAGTAGGGGTAAAAGAGGTGGGAGAGAGAGGGAGAGAGAGGAAGAGGAGGAAGAGGGGAGGTGAGTGGGAATTAACCACATTCTCTTTCATTCCAAACTTGCTGCCGCAGCCCTGGAGAATACCATTTTACACACACTTTTTCTTCATAATAGGATTATTCCAAAAACATTTCAAGCAAAAGAAATGCTGTTTTTTGAAAAAAATCTTTATTTACAGTTCACAAAGATCAGAATTTTCTTTTCCAGGGTAAGTAGCCTTTATATCTTTATTGCTCTCTATTTATTTCCTGCTGGAGATAGGGAATAAGGCTCTACCAGCATCAAAAGACCCTCGAGCCATCCTGTGATTCTGAATTACAGAACTGGGGAATGGGGTCAGGTGCAGGGACTCCTTCTCTCGCTTCCTTTCAACTGACCCAGATATGCCAGCCCTACTCCTGGGGCCTCCCAAGCCCCCAGGGTTTCTTCCCACCCTCCTCTATGCTGTCTGTCTTCACACATCGCTCAGCATCAGGGTTGGGAATGGGAGAACTCACTTTCCATGTGATGCAAGTGGTCAGAGGGTGGAGCGAGGACAGAAGGGGAGAGCTGAGGAAGGAAGTGGATTGCACATGCCCCTTTTGCCCTGGGTGCGCCAGCCTGGCTGACATCTGTGAAAAACAGCCACATCAAGTCCTCCCTGTCCCTGCCTTGAAAGCATAGATTCAGAGATGGATGGGTCTTTGGACCATACAGACTCATCTCCCTCCTGGGTGCCTGATGCTGGCTGGAGCCCTGCTTTCACGGTTCCCTCCCTCTCCCTGCACATCCCCACGGCTGCGCAACTCACGAGTGGGAACATCTTTTCTGATGTTGAGTAGGACCCTTTCTGTATTAATCAGAACTCTCTAGAGAAACAGAACCAATAGTCATACATACATGATTAATTATAAGAAATTGGCTCACAGTACTATGGAGGCTGCAAGTCACAAATCTCTAGGGTGAGGCTGCAAGTTGGAGATCCTGGAGAGCTAAGGGCCTCAGCTCCAGTCCCAGGACTGACAGGCGTGAAGACCAGGAAGAGTCATCGCTGCTGTTCCAGGCAGGAAATGCTGGTGCCACAGGTTGAAGGCTGGGGCAGAGGAATTCTTTCTTCTTGAGGGGAGGCTCAGCCTCTTTGTTCTATTCAGGCTTTCCCCTGATTGGATGAGGCCCACCACATTGAGGACAACTTACTTTACCCAGTCTATCAATTTAAATGTTAATCATATCCCCAAACACCCTGAGGGCGTGTGCAGCTTGTGCTTGGATTCTTAGAAAAAGCAGTTCACTCTTAGGATAAGGATGCACCCCTCCCTGTCCCTCTCATTTCTTGGTAAATCATTCAAAGCAGCAACTGGGGCCAGTAGGAACCATATCCTGGGATTAATCTTTGGGAAAGCTCGTTTCCCTCTGTTTGCCGCCTTTAGTAAGTCCTCAGCAAAGGCACAAAAGGGATCATCTACTTAGAAGCCAGAGTCTCTGTGTCCTGTAAGTTGCAGGAAGGCCCAGCATGGACGAGTCTCACCTCCTTTTAACACAGGGACTCTGATGCAGAAAGAGCTCATGTCACAAACCAGAGTTGTGTTGTTTCGTGCTGCAGGAGCTAGGACTTGAATCCAGCACCGGTGAACCTGCAAACCTCCTCTTCCTGCTACCTCTGCGGGGTGTCACGTGCCTGCGCAGGCTCTGTATGCTGTAGAGGGGAAACGGTCAAGTTTAAAGTAATTTCAACAATAACAATGCAGCTCTTCCCAGGAACTCAGGGAGGAGAACACAACTGGTGGCCAGCCCAGGGGGTCCCTGCAGCTTTGACACTGCTGCGTCATCTTCAGGAGACTGTACATATGGAGGCTGGAGGAGATGACCACTAAGGACCCCTTTTTCTGCTCTGGGATCTGAGGGATCCCCAGAGCAGGCAGCTTGAAGGCTCCTTCCTTTTCAAAGCACTGAGGAAAGGGAGGCGAGGAAGAATGAGAGGCCCCATGTCTCCTGCTCTGCGCTGCCTTTCCCTGCTCTGTGAGCACAGGACCTTGCTGGGGGAGGAGGTGTAGCCGGGAACCTTTGCAAAGGGCACAGCAGAAGTGGAGGCTGGCTTCCTGTTTGTCTGGGACACTGCCAGCCCTGTTCTGCAGAGACTCCGAAGAGGAGAGCAAACAAGGGGATTTTCAGATGGTCTTTGCATGCCTTCTCCTTTGTTTTCCCTTAGAGGGAGAGGCGGCTGCTACTCTAAATCTTGGCCTGGAGGAGCCATGCACGCCAAGTTGAAGGGGGCGGACGGCTTATGTAAGATGAGGGGACTGAAGCCCTGTTAAGCTGAGCTGGGGAGCAGTTGATCTGCGCTCTGCTCAGAGAAGCTCCAGTTTCTCCGGAGACAATGTAAGCTGACCTTTCTGGATCCCCCTTGCTTCTCTTACAATTGACTCAACAGGAACTGTCATCAGTGGAGAGTCTTGGGGCTGGCGGGGCCTGCAGGTAATCGCCCGGAAACTGCTTGATTGCCTTCAGAGACAGGGAACTCGCTCTTCTCCTAGGCAGCTCATCTCATCTCTGCCTGGCTCCTTCCTGGCAGGGTCTCCGGAGCCGGAAGCTTTCCTCCTTGCTTCATGGAGTTGTGGACCATGACACTGGTCTTCTGACCCGATATAGGCATGATATTTGGAATAAATTTACACTCTGCTGGGAATTGGCCTTTGCTCTGAATTAGTTGCTTGGTTTCTTCAGCTGGGCTTTAAGCTGTCTTCAGCAGGGACCAGAGAGCCTCCATCTTTTATATCCCACATCTTCACTACTAGCTGGCCGAGCATATGGCAAGTGCTTAATCACAGTACGGTAGAAACAAGTGAGGAAGAAAGGAAGGAAAGGAGGAAAAACTAAAAAGATTTGCCTTCATCTTTTCTTGAGTGCTGGATAATAGAGGCCCTCTGGGATAGGATCCCCTTGAGGATCAGTCATTCCTGCCTGGGAGGGACCTTGGCATGTGGAACTGCCCTGGGTTCTGACCTCAATACCAGGGCTCCAGTTTTAGCCTTTGCAATTCCTAACCAAGAATCTTTGGGCAGGTTACTTCCTGGAGCCCCAGTGTCCACTCTGAAATGGGAAATAGTAATCACCTCATATGGGGTTGTTGTGAGGATCAAATCAGATCAAAGGGCCCGGAGCTCTCTGTAAACTGGGTTTCCATATGGATGCAGGGCGGAGCTCAGAATTAGGTATGAAGAACTGGGATCCAACAATAACAACATCACTATTATTTGATTGATTTCTTTTGTATGCGAACCACTGAGAAGTTTCTTTATAGACATTCTCTTAGTGATAGATTATAAGGTTGGCAGTTTACAGATGAGGAAACAGACGTTCAGAAAGGTTAAGTATCTTGAAAAACTAGGATTTGTACCCAGTTCCCTGATGGCCTCCAAGCTCAAATACTCTATTACATCAGACTGCTTCCTGTTAAAGGAAAATTAGGGCCAATATGTGGGGAGGGGAACTGAGGATGATGAGGTGCTGGCGGAAGGATGTTAGAACTCAAAGACTATAGGAGAGACCCTCAATCCTGTGACTTTATCATTTCCCCATTTAATAGGTAAAGCAAATACTCAAGGCTCGTTCTTTTCCTGGGTTGATTTAAAAAATCTTTTCCTCACCCTAAGTGTCTCATTTGCAGTTGGATTTCGGTCTGTTAGCCAGGCGCTACTTCTCTTCCAGGGAACCCGGGATGTCTGCATAATGATGTGAGTTTCCAGGAGAGCTCAGTGGGGGTGTGTGTGGGGGGAGTCTAGAAACCAGGCAGAACAAGGCAAGGAAGATGTGGCTTTTAGGCAGTGACCAATTGATCATTTGACAAACTTTATTAAGCATTTACATGTGCCAGGAGCGGTGCTAAATCCCACGGGGCTGAAGAAACCACAGGCTCTGATCTCGGGAGCTTACAGATTGGTGAGGAAGATAGATTTCAAGGCAGATGGAGGCTCCTTATGCTGATGGACGGGCAGAGGAGGGAGGGGAGGTGGTTGGAAGGAGGGTGTGTGTATTTGGGCGAGAGGACAAGACTTTACCCAGGGGACGGTGCAGGAGGGGTGGCACACCTGGGTCCCTCTCTGGAATTCTCCACTCCAGCAGACCCCTCAGGCCTGGTTCTCAGTTTAAGTCAAATAACTTTGGTCCCCAGTTGCCTCCTGCCTGCCACGTTCCAACTCAATCATTCTTTGAAATTTGGAGCTGTAGCTAAAACGCCTTTGCCCTGTAACAGGATTTTCACAGTCTCCACAGCAGCGGAGAACGTCGCTCATCACCTGCTGTTGTAATCTGCACCGCTAAGCCCGCGGCTCCAGGCGGAAAGCTTGCTGATTCCAGCTCACTCTTCCTGGCATCCCAGCCGTATTTTAGGAAGGGGAGCTAATCTGCTACCCCCAACTCCACACAGAGGCACCTCCAAGGAAATACCCATGGCAGAGGGAGCTGATGTTCCTTAGAGAAGGGGCTCTGAGGGCCAAGCTCCCCTCCGCAAATGGGTAGCAGGAACCATGATTCTGGGTCTCTGAGTAAAATCACCCTGTGTACCTTCTTCTGAAGGGCATTGGCGGGAGGGGCCAAGTGGTGGCTGATCATCCTGAAGATTGTGTTTCATGGGCTGGCCAGACCTCCATATCTGCATTGGGAGATTTTGCTCTGTTATAGGAAATATGCAAGTGAGTTATAGGCAAGAGTGTGTGTGTGTGTGTGTGTGTGCGTGTGTGTGTATGTGTGTGTGTGTGCGTGTGTATGCTCGCATGCATTTGTTCGTGGTTTCTGATTAAACACTCACCATCTTCTAAAATCCTAATAATCACTGGTATTTTTTGCCTTCTACCTCCCATCTTAACAGATTTATGCTTCAGAGAGCCAGAGCCCAGAGCACTAGAGTGTTTGACACTAAGTGGGACTTTGCTTAATGTTTGTTGAATGAATAAGAACTGACCCTGGAGCTCAGCTTTGTTCCAGGCACTGTGCTATGGGCTTAAACCCATGGTGAAATGAAGATCTGATCACGTTGGTAATAAGTGCAATAGGAAATCAGAAACAGGAATAAGTTGTGGAGTTCTTGGAGGCAGCGACCAAGCATATATACAAGCATTGATTGATTCATTCATTCAAAAATATTTACTTAACCTAACATGTGCCATGTGTTCTTTAAGAATGCTGGGGAGATAGCAGAGCTATCCTGGTTCAAGTGGAATGTACTAGAAAGATTGGGCAATGAACAGATTTTGGCTTGACCTAAGCAATGACTTTCTGAGAAGCAGAACTGTTCAACAATGTAATATGGAGTCCTGTGAGATCGTAAGCTCCTCATCTCTGGGAAAGTTTAAGCAAAGGCTATGCAGGCACACCCTGGGGCAGAGGGTGTAGCAGGTCTGAAGGTCGTTCTTCCCATATCTGCCTGCCCCTCTTATTTCAGTGCACATAGCCTTTAACTGCTAGCATCGGTAGCTCCTTGCCAGGGTGCTTTCTGTGCCCCAGAATCGGGCTTGTTGCTCATACCTCCAGAATGAACAATGTGCCCTTGGATCCTCGCCCTATGAACGAGCTGGGACTTCGGCGGATTCCTGCCTTCCATTTCTAATACTCATAACTGCCGGACTCCCACTGAACTCAAAAATAGTGTCAGATTCTGCCCAGAATTTCCTTTCCCAGACAGGGATGGGTGCAGGATGTTTCTCACTCTCCTGAGACAATCGAGGATGCCTCATCTGCCTTCCCATCAGGTCAGAGGTTCCCTGGAAGCAGTCAATATACGCTCCTTTTACGCTGATCACAGCACAATGCTGGCTTTTTGGCTCCGAAGACTCTATCAGGGCTCATTGATGTGACTCTATTTGATTTTTCACCCCTCAAATGGTGCCAGCTCTAGGTAGGGCTGGGTTCCCAAATCCACACAGGGTTCCCAGATTTCACACAGCTGGTAAGCCAGCAGCTGATCAAGCCCAGCCTGAAAGTCTTTTCTATGTCACCTGCCCAGAGAAAGTGCAGGGCATAAAGCTGAACAGGCAGCCAGCTGGGCTTAGTGCCTGCTACCCCGCAAGCCTGGGCACTGACTAGAGCCACTCTCTGAATGTCCACAGATGAAGTATAATGAGCTGTATTTCCTGGGGTTTGGGGAGGTTAAGATGGACACTCTTCATTCAGTAGGTATAGCAGGCATTGTAATCGCTGCCAATTTCCCCTGTCAATAAAGAACTTGTTGACTAGATGCTGAAAAAGTGGATAGCAGTTTTCCTCTCAGGGGGCACTTTAGCAGTAAAGACCCTCCTACTTATGGTTGGGCCCCTTCTGGGATGATCCACATCTACTAACAGATTGTGTGTGCATAGGAAGGCCTGGACATCTTGCCTGGATTGGAGATGGTTCCAACGGGCCCTTCAACATTCTTGAGCTCCTTGCAGGGCTTGGCCAAGCCTGTGCTTGAGCTGCATGAAAGCTGAATTCTGTTCTCTGCCCAGGTTTGTTTCTGCTCTTTGCGACTGGCACAGATATTGTGACATTCCTTAGTAAGCACCCTCCTGCTGAAACTCCGGCTCAGAGGCTGCTCCGAGGAACCTCACCCTGGGACAATGGGACATTGTCCTTTGTGGCTCAACTGAGCCTCTGAATCAGTCTTCTAAACCCCCAAATTGGCAAGTGACCATTCCTAAATTGTCCCCTTCACTGCAAACATCCCTGCCTTTATGAACAAGGCTTGGCTCCTCCCCCACTGGCTTTAGAGGTGTGTGTGTGTGTGTGTGTGTGTGTGTGTTTGTGTGCGTGTGTGTCTGTCTGTTTGTAGGCTAAAAGGAGTTCAGTACCTGTACCTGCAGGCTATGCTCTGTACCCCCACACACATACCTCAGTCTGTTGTATAAGACGCCCTAGCAACTGCATATCCAGCCTGCCTAGTCAGGGCTCCCCAGGAAGATGAAACAGTTACCGGCCCCAAAGCAGCAGCATCTCTGGATCTGAGGTGCATTCCTGCAGCTGGGACTGCAAGGGGAGCTCGCTTTATTAGATCCCATTATAAATGGATGATTTGCCATCTCCGAAGATAAATGGGAAACTTAATGCAGAGGTATCCTGTCTGGGGAAACTGGAGAGTTATGGATGTTAGCTTTGTAGCTTTATGAAAGCACTTTCTTATGGAAACTGAAATGACCAAGATTAGATTGAATTAGTATGTACTGGTATGAGCTTTTCCTCCCCCTATCCATCTTGATTCTTTTTTTTTTTTTTTTTTAAGGGAAAAGATCTGCCTCCTGTATGAGCATTTCATAAAAATGCAAATCCCAAGTTTGGGTTTGGTAATTAGCAGGGTTGCCTCCTGGTGCTAACGAGGCAGCTGCCCAGCTTGAGCTCTCTGTGGAGGTGGGGAAGGAGGCGCCCTCTGCTGGCTTCCCTTGTGGGTGGTGTCTGCTTCTTCCCTCCCACTGGGCTCCTGCTGGTGTCAGGTATTCTTTTGGCCA